TGAAATCGCCCAGTCCGCGAAGCGCGACTCACTCCTCGGATCGATGCACTGATCCCTCGGGGGGAGGCATTGACCCGGTTGAAGCCTCCTTCGTCGCGTTCTGGTCCTCCTCTGACCTATTTTCCGACGCTGGAGCTGGGGAAATCAATCCGGGACGCTCAAAAAGTTCCCGGTACCGCCACTCCCGGGACCTCTCCCGGGGTGCCTTCTGACCAGAAAATTCGAAGCGAGCCCAGCGGTGGCGAGGAGGGCCCCCAGGAGGCCCAACACGGGGACACGAGGCAAGGGTAGCAGTATGGGTACCCTTGTCCTGCTCTGGACAACACCGTCGCGATTTGTTCTGTTTTGGGGGGGGCAACTTGTCAGGAGCCACCAACATGCAAGACTGTGAAACACCCCAATCAGTGCATGGTTTTCGCTGAGGAGATCGACCGGGAACCCTGGAGCCTGAGAGCCCAGAACCCACCGAAATCGACCCGGAACCAGTAACCAAGAACCCGGGAAGCTGGAACCGGGAACCTGGGAACCCAGCCTGCCACCAAAATCGGCGGGGAACGCTCGCCAAATCTTTCAACTTCCGCTAGGACCCCTCCAGTGCAAGCACTGATTGGGGAACACCGCCCAGGGCGCTGTCTGAGAGAAGCCGAGAGCTCGACCAAACGACCCCGCCGGGATGGGGGCCCGGGGGCGCCGGGGCCTCGACCTCCCGGGAGGGCGGGGTGTGGCGCGCGGGGCTGGAGCGGGGGGGGGCGCCTCGACCTTGCAAGACGAAACCAACACGAAGACAGCATCGGGCGAGGACGAATCGAGCAACGGTGTGCACCGCGGAAGGCAGCATCGAGCTGGAGGGGGGGGGCCATCAACCAAGCAAGGCGCAACGGTGTGCACCGGAAGACAACATCCAGCTGGAGGGGGGAGGGGGCCTCGACCATGCAAGACGTAGCCAGCACGAAGACAACATCGGGCGAGGACGAATCGAGCAACGGGGTGCACCGGAAGACAGCATCGAGCACCAGCGCTTAGAGCGTGCCGGTACGTTCAGAGGGGAGGTGGAGGGACAGGTCTCGACCATTCGAGGGCAGAACATCCACCCCCAGTATAAGCACCTCGACAAGCGAAGCCGTTCAAGAAGCGCACCCCTGGACCCCTGGAAGAGATCGAACAGGGCAGGGCTGCTTTGCAAACGCCAAAGGCCGTTGAGTAAACGCCAATTGTCGGGGTCTGGGTGCTTTCTTGCCTTAAACCACGTAAGACGAAGCCAGGACGAAAAAAACATCGGGCGAGAGTAAACCGAGAATCTCGGAGATCCGGCGGCTCTGGAGGATGTCTCGGGCGCCGCGGCCTTCTCAGAGCGTTCTGAACCGCTCTGAGAGCGTTCCAGAACGCTCTGGAATGGGTTTATCCTCGTCCTGGCCCCGTTTGACCATGGAAGGTGGAGTGTCGACTACACGCATGAGGGACCCTAGGCAAGAGTGGCCTGTGGTGCGCGACTTGTGTGTGTGCGTGTGTGTGTGTGTGTGTGCGTGTGTGTGTGTGTGTGTGTGTGTGTGTGTGTGCGTGTGTGTGTGTGTGTGTGTGTGTGCGGGGGGGTCAAAGCCGAGCGGGGAGGCCGCTGCGATCGCACCGCGTGCAGCCATCCGGGGGCCCCAGTGGGCCCGCACCCACGACCACTCCTGCAGAGGATCCCTCGCATGTGCAGTCGAGATCGAGGACGAACAAAAACACGTAAACATAAACTTTCGCCGGTCCGCACGGATTTCTTGGATTCTCGCTGGGCCCCCCTCCCTGGCGCGCGGAGCGCGCCAGGGGCGGCGCCGGAGGCGCCGCCAGGGGGGTCCCAGCGCGGATCCGAGAAATCCGCTCGGAGCGTCGAAAGTTTATGTTTATGTTTGTTTCCGATTCTTCTGCGAGAGGGGGAGGCGAGTGCTGCGAAGGACAATTAGGAGGGAGGAGGGCGAGAAGGAGGGGGAGGAGGAGGAGGAGGAGGAGGAGGAGGAGGAGGAGGAGGAGGAGGGAGGAGGGAGAAGGAGGAGGGAGGGAGGAGGAGGGAGAAGGAGGAGGAGGAGGAGGAGGGAGAAGGAGGAGGAGGAGGAGGAGGAGGGGAGGAGGAGGAGAAGGAGGAGGAGGAGGAGGAGGGAGGAGGAGGAGGGAGGAGGAGGAGGGAGGAGGAGGGGAGGGGGAGGAGGAGGAGGAGAGGAGGAGGAGGAGGAGGAGGAGGAGGAGGAGGAGGAGGAGGAGGAGAGGAGGAGGGGAGGAGGAGGAGGAGAGGAGGAGGAGGAGGAGGAGGAGGAGGAGGAGGAGGAGGAGGAGGAGGGAGGAGGAGGAGGAGGAGGAGGGAGGAGGGAGGGGGAGGAGGAGGAGGAGGAGAAGGAGGAGGAGGAGGGAGGAGGGAGGGGGAGGAGGAGGAGGAGGAGAAGGAGGAGGAGGAGGAGGAGAATGAGGAGGGAGGAGGAGGAGGGAGGAGGAGGAGGGAGGAGGAGGAGGAGGGAGGAGGAGGGAGGAGGAGGGAGGTTGGAGGGAGCCCTGACCGATCCCTCGGGCGCGCGCGGCGCCTGTCGACCTGGGAGGCCTCGACCATGCCGTCGGGCGTGGGTGGGCCGGGCCCCCACGGCGCGAGGCCCGCCCGCTCGAGCGCCCGCCGGACCGAGGCGGCGTGCTGCTTGTAGAAGAACGTGTGGAAGTAGCCCTGGGGAGGAGGGAGGAGGGAGGAGGGAGGAGGAAGAGGAGGAGGAGGAGGAGGTCGTTAGCAGGAGGAGGAGGAGGAGGAGGAGGAGGAGGAGGAGGAGGTCGTTAGGAGGCAACTGCTGGGAGTTGCATCCGAGAGGTCGGGGTCGGAGAACAAGCGCGCCGAGAGTCATGATGCTCCCAGATATGATAGCGTTTTTTTGCGTTAATTTTAAAAACATACCTAGGCTCTGCCTAGAAGGGTTCTTACTCTCTTTGCTTATAGGGCCGGGCAATGCTAACCGCCCCGGGCGGTTCCCCCAGTCCCCTGGGAGCTTTAGCCTTAGCTTTAGCTTTAGCTTAGCTTCAGCTTTAGCTTTAGCTTTAGCTTAGCGTTAGCTTAGTGTTAGCTTAGCTTTAGCTTAGCCTTAGCTTAGCCTTAGCTTAGCTTTAGCTTAGCTTTCGCTTAGCTTCAACTTAGCTTTAGCCTAGCTTCAGCTTAGCTTTAGCTTAGCTTTAGCTTAGTGTTAGCTTAGCCTTAGCTTAGCTTTAGCTTAGCTTTAGCTTAGCTCCAGCTTAGCTTTAGCTTAGCTTTAGCTCAGCTCCAGCTTAGCTTTAGCTTAGTGTTAGCTTAGCCTTAGCTTAGCTTTAGCTTAGCTTTAGCTTAGCTTTAGCTTAGCTTCAGCTTAGCTTTAGCTTAGCTTTAGCTTAGCTTTAGCTTAGCTTTACTGTTACTACTAATGCTGCTTTCCTAGGGGCTCCAACTCCTAGGTAGGGTCGCACTGGGATATTTTTTTATATAAAAAACGCTGTTTTCATACTTTTCGGCCTCGGGGGGCCCCCGCCGGGCCTCGGGGCCGTCAAGAAACGACTCAGGATGAAACACCGGTCCCAGGGAAAGGATCGGGACTTCCAGGGAGGCCGTCCTGAAAAAAACAAGACGTCGCATGTCTGGGCTGCCCTCATCTGGAATTCATTTCGAACACCCGCGAAAATGTATCGAAGCAGTGTCGAACGGGTATCGCCTCCCGGGGCCCGACGCTAGAAGGCCCTCAAGTCTCGGCACATTCTTGGAGCTCGAAATTCTTTTCTGGTGGCCAAGGCCACAGTAGGTTGGAGCACCGTAAGACGAGAGGGGTGTGCTCAGATTTCGGACGAGGCGACTCCTTCAATCCAAGCGTCCTTCAGTGGTTTCGGCCCCTGGGGCTCGTCATGTGGCCCCAGGGTCAGCAAACATGGGCCAAAACTGGCCTCGGCGCAGGGGTCGGGACCTCTGCAGGGCCGCGCGCAGTGGAAGCAGCCCTGGCGGCCAGGGGCAGTGCTTCGGTTGTTTTTGTTGCAGCTTTCCCTCTAGAGGTTTTCCACAGCTGTCGGCTGTTCTCGGAGGCTTCCCAACCTCGGGATGCTTTCCAACAAACTTCGTGGGCACGCTTGAAAACCATGAAGCCCGATTGAAAGAAATTGAGCCGGATTGGTTACAGTAAAACACAATACTAAATAGGATTCAACAAGATTGAGCGGACTGTGTCGGGACTATGCCGGTTTTCGACCACGCATCTGTATACCAGCGCAGACGCTGAAGCATCTCAGGGATTGCATCCTAAGGGACGCACCCCGACCTCCCTGAGTCGTGAACAACAAGCAACACAGGGGGTACGTGATCACCTTCGGCCTCCGTGGGAAGCCCCCTTCCCGGGCCCCAGGACCGTCGAGGAAGCACAACTTGGGCCGAGAAGCCGGTCCAGGAGCACCGTTGTGCATTCTCGCGGCCATAACGTTAGGTCGGGCATGTCCCCCTGCAGGCGGACGTTGGGCGAAAAAGGGAAGAGATCCAAAACATATTCAAAACAGGTCAAGACAAATGCTCAAAAGATCGTCCCCGCATTATTTCAAGCCTATGTTGGAATCGTCCTCCTGTAGACGGAGCGGCCCGACTTGACCATGGCGGGCGTCAGGGGGGGGGGGAGGGGGCGGGGGACGGGCGGGGCCACAGGGCAGCGCCGCCCCCCCCCTCCCTCCTTCAGACTACTGTGGTGCCGGACGCGCTGCGGAAGTGCCGAGGGCGCACTGGAGGGGGGGAGCGGGGGAGCGCTGCGTTATGGGTGGCGGGGGAGGGCAGGGGGCATGCAGTGGAGGCCCGACCACAAGAAACCTCCCACGAGAGACCCAACCCTGAGACACTACGGCGTCCACCGATGTTTGGTGTGGGAACGCCACGCTGTCCATGGCAGAACCAAGGGAACCCAACAGCCCCAGGGCACCCTGGAGGCAAGCAGGGTGTTTCTTGGCATGGGTCTCCACTGTAACGCGCGTTATGGCCCAGAGGGTAAGCAAAAACACTCTCCAGGGAAGGAGGAGGAGGAGGAGGAGGAGGAGGAGGAGGAGGAGGAGGAGGAGGGGGAGGAGGAGGAGGAGGAGGAGGAGGAGGAGGGGGAGGAGGAGGAGGAGGAGGAGGAGGAGGAGGAGGAGGAGGAGGTCCACGCCGCGAACACGCGAGGGCGCTGGAGGCCTGGGCACGGCCCTCTCCACGGCCTCGCGGCCAGGGCCCCTCTTTCCGCAGCCCCCTGGTCGAGGGGCGGCTGCGCGCGGATGCTCCCGCTCGGGGCGCCTCCCCGGGATCGCGTACCCGTATCGGGAGCGGCCAAGAGGGGGGTGTCCAAGAGGGGGGGGTGCAAATCATGACCGGCGGCATGTGCACGGCCCCGCGGGGGGACCTGGGACGTAATAAGATAAGAAGAGGCGCCATGAAATCTGAGGAAAAATCATGGCCCGCGCCATGATATCCCCCCCCCTAGTCATCACCCCCCTCTTTTCCGCTCCCGACCGTAGGATCGCGCGACGCAGCCCCGCGGACGAAGGGCGGCTGTGCGCGGATGGCTCCCGCGAGGGGGCGCCTCCTCGCGGGATCGCGTATCCACAGGGTCGCGCACCGGCGTCCAGATCGGTGGGCCCCGGCAAGGACAGGGCCGCGTGTTTCTCCGCTTCCGGAGCAGTGTCTCCTGAGCCTGGGAATCACGGCTGGAAGACGGCGGCCGGCAACGGCAAAGCAACGGCAACGGGATTGGAACCCCGGAGCTGGAAATGGAAACCAAAACGTCGTCGGAACCAGCGACAAAAAACGGCGAAACGGAACTGGTACCAAAAACGGCCCCGTCGTTTCCAGCGCCAACTAAGGTGTCCAATGCAGCCCGCGAAGGCATGGATATTCTCCTGGGGTTGTTCGCCGCTCCAGTGCAAACCGCGAAGGCATGGTGAACGTTATCTTATCTGGCGTTCCGACATTGGGCGGAAGGGGGGAGGGGAGGGGGGGGGTCTGGTTCCGGACCTCTGCTTAACGTGACTGTTTGCAACAGTGCGTCCCGTGGGGGAGACCCCACCTGACTGAACGAGAAGCCAAAAACAGATACGATCTACTCCATCGGGGGGGGAGGGGTGCGAGGGCCTGCGCCGATCGGCAAAACAATGGACAAGAACACGATCAGATGGATATTCTCCCGGTTTTGTTCGCCGCTCCGGGTGCAAAACGGTGGTCCCCGCAGCGACCCTGCGCGGCTCTACGCCGTGCCCGCCCCTCAGCGCTCACCCCTGGGGGGGCCAGACCCGCTCCCCGTTCGAGATGCTCCTGCTCCGTCGTGCTCCTCCGCCTCCTGCTCTTTCCTCTGGGGCTCGGCGAAATGGCGTAAACCTAAGCCTCTCGAAAAACCCTTCCTCCTTCTACCCCCTTCCTTCCGGTCGCAGGTAGGAAGCCAGCGTCCAGACATTTTAAGACGCTGAGATAAGGAGCAGTTTGGATTCGGAAAGGGCTCCCTGTTCTTTGGGTCCTTCCGTGGCTGTTCCTCTAGCTCTCCTCGTGCACGCAGGCGCTTCTGGGGCCCAAAAGATCGTGCCTTATTTAGCGTTCCTTATGATAATACCTTGACTGTACAAGTGGTCCGTTGGTCAAGATGACGGGCCGACGAGTAACCCACGAATTCAACATCGATCAGCCACACGGCATACCTGAGCCCGATCGGCGATGTGATGGAAGAGAAATAGAACGCTCGCAGAAATGATCCTGGCGAAGAACCAAACCGAACGCAAGTGTGAATACCGCGAGGCAAGTGAGACGAAGGAAAAGGACCCCCCTGTGGGGCCATGAACTGTGTGAGGCGCGTGCCGAAATGGACATGCGGTGGGTGAGGATCCTTGTGAAAAGCCTGGCACTGGGGCCTTCGGTGGAGCTCCCAATACGGCCACGAAACGTGTGAAAGACGTGCCGAAATGGACATGCGGTGGGTGGGGGTCGCATGTGAACCCTGTCAGTGGGGCCTCCGGTAGCTCCCAATGGGGCGTGGAACTCCATATGGGGCCACGAACCGTGAAAGGGATGTGCCGAAATGGACATGCTATGTGCGGGGGTCCGCATGCGAACTGCGCCACTGAAACCTTCGGTGGAGATCCCTACGGGGCCACAAAATGTGTGTGTGTGTGTGCGGTGTGCAGACATGGACCTTCGGGGGAGCTCTCTATGGGGCCACGAAACGTGTGAAGGATGTGCCGAAATTGGCATGCAGGGACGCGTGTGAGCTGCCCCTCTGGGACCTTCGGTGGAGCTCCTTCTGGGGCCACGAACTGTGCGAGCGGTGTGCCGAAATGGGTGGCGGGCATGTATGGGGCCGCGGACCGTAAGGGGTGTGTCGAACTGGGTGGTGGGGGCGCGGACGCATCCGAACTGGCCCACTGTGACCTTCGACGAGCTCACGAAACATACGAGGGCGTGCTGACATGGGTGGCGGTGACGCATGCGAGTTGCGCCACTGGGACCTGCGGTGGAGCTCCCCATGGGGCAACGAAACGTGTGACGGGTGTGCCGAAATGGACGTGCGGAGGGCAGCGGGCAGGTGATGGGAGGAGGGGAGAGGAGGGGCGATATTTCTTCAGAAAGAGGGCCCAAGACCACAGGATGGTGGGGAAAGACATGCAGAACACAGCTGTGGGAAAGGCATCCAACATATTCTGGATATCGATGTCCTCTCTTGGCGCCGTCTGCGTCTCCGCTGGCGAGAACTGGAATGGGCGGGAGGTGAACGCAAAGCGCTTTGAATAGCCCTGCCTCCTCATAGCCCATTCCTTTGGGAATTGAGCATTCCTTCTGGCAATCCCGCGTCGTCCAACCAGACCTCGAGGATCGGACATCAAAATTCCCCTGAACAACCTATATGTGAAGATCCTGTCCTGCGCAATGCGTCGAGGCACGTGTGAGCTGATCCGAATCCGGAATCAATGGCTCGCGGGCCGTGGTCTCCCGAATAGTGGCGAACACCCGCATGGCTATGAACTCCCATATCGTCTCCCGTGTGATCTCCCGCATGAAACTCTGCATGGTCTCCAATGTGGTCGCCCGCATGGTCTCATGTAGGGACTCTTGTATGGTCTTCCCTTTGTCTGCCGTGTGATAAATGGCCCCGCGCCCCTCGAATGGCCTCGCGTATACGAGTGACTTCCCAAATGGTCTTTCGCATGGTCTCCCATGCGGTCTTCCGCATGAGCTTCCGCGTGCTCTCTTCCGCGGGCCTCCCACGCGGTCTACCGCCTTGCACAGGGCCTGCCACCTTATGGCCTCCGCCCTTGTCTCCCGCATGCCAGCGCGAGATCCGTCTTCACCGTCTTCGGCTTTCCGGAGCCCTCTCCGGGCACCGCAGGGACCCTCAACAAAATGCCCGGGATGCGATCTCGGGTCGGCACTTCCGGGCACTGCAGTCTGAAAAACTGTCATCACATCGGGCCTCTGGGTCCGCGGCTCAGAGGGCCGCCCGACTGGGGCCGAGGCCTTCGGCCGTCTCCGCGGCCCCCGGTCCCCACTGGTGGATGCCCCCGCCTCTCTTGCGGCCCCTGGCGCCGTGGCCCACCCCTGTGCGGCCACATGGCTGGAGGCCGCCCGCGCAGGCCTGCAGCAGAGGGGGTCGGAGCATCGCGCCGCATCACCGACGTGTCGGCGACGTCGGAGATCGGGCTCTGGATCGCGCGATGCGGCGCGATCCTCCGATGCCATCTGCCAGGGCCCCACTCGGGCGGCCTGGACTCGTGGATGCACCGCGGCGTTAGCTTCGACTTCTTGTGCTCTGTACGCGGGCTCGTCGTACCATGGCCTGTACGTAGCGTCGCCGTTCGCCCGAGCGAACCGTGTGGTGCGCGAGCCCGAAGACTTGAAGACGCAAGCGGGCCTGGACTGAAACGGCCAGAGCTCGGATGCCAGCCTCGGCGACGCGCATGAGGGGGATGGCGCGGGGGCGCGCGGCCTTCTAGGCAGACGGCGGGACCCCAGGAGGCCTCTGAGAAGGGAAGGGCCTTGCGAGAAACGCCTGGGGGGCTTCTGTTAGGTCTGGCATGTCGTCCTACAGGCGGGCTTTTGAAGACATGGGACAAATAGTCAAACAAATTCAAACATAGCCAGAAAAGAGCACGACAAATCGTCACCAGGGTCTTGCTTTCCTGTTCTTGAATCTTCCTCCTGTAGAGGGACATGCCCGACGTACGGCTTCCAATACGGCTCCTGGGACTCTGGCAGTGCCTCCGATTAAGAACTCCTCCTGCCCCCACGCCTCCTGACAAGGCCGGCCCCCTCGCGCCATCGCCTTCCACCTGGACGCCCGAACATGGGCACGGAAACGTGGGCCCAATGCCCAACAAACCATGCTGTCCCAAAACGACAGTGGCCGCTGTTGGGCAGGCGGCGATTTGTCTTCGGTGAACAGCGTCCGCGGCGGCGCGGGCAGCGAGTCCTGCTCAACAGGAACCTGACCTGCCGTCGGTCCTTGTACCCATTCTTTCCGTACCCGTTTCGAGCGTCCCGATTCCATCCCCTCCGACGTTGCAGTTTTTTCTGACTGCCTACCAGACCACGCCAACCTGACCCAAAGACCCGAATGTCGCGTTGGGGGAGTACGGGCCTCACATCTGTATTCTCGATGTTCCCCGACCCCCCCACTGGAAATGGAGGGCAAATCGGGGCATTCGGGTTGGGTTGGGGCGGTTTGGCGGGTCGTGATTTTCGTGACGCCGGCCCCCGAAGATCTCGACCATTCCCCCAAGGCCGGCGTGGCATCCCGGGGGGTCCCCCAAGAAGGCCGAAGCCGGCGAGACGCCCGGCCGCCCTGGCTTCTGTGCAACGCCCGGATCTGGGGGTCGTCGCGCGCCGCCGAAAGCCCATTGGATGCTCATTCTTCGGAACTTCCCGGAGACACTCGCTCCACTCGTGCGTCGAAGCTGCGCCGAACGTCCATCGATTGGAGCCGACCTTGAGTCGAACCCTGAGTCGAACCTGAGTCGAACCTGAGTCGAACCTGAATCGAACTTGGGTCGAACTTGAATCGAACTGGGGTCGAACTGGAGTCGCACATATCCGGTAGATGGGCCCAAGGAAGGTCCCCCAAACGAGCATCTAAAGCCCAGGTTCCCCAGGTGCTCTCCAAAAGAGGGCACCACAAAAGGAACCGCTACAACGCCAGCCGCGTGCCGCAAATGCGCGGGGTCTTCGCCGGCGCGCCTGCGCTGGGCAACGGTACCGGTACCGGCAACATGTGTGCGCAGGACACCGGGGGACAACTCGAGACGGACTCGCACCGCTCATGAAGCATCTCCTGAATAATGATTTACAATAGGATCTCTACCACAAGAAACCTTCCACAAGAAACCCAACCCTGAAACCACAGAATGTCCATGGACTTTTGGTGTGAGAGTGTCACGCTTTCCACAGCGGAACCATCGAAACCCAAGAAACCCAGGGCACCATGGAAGCAAGCAGGGTGTTTCTTGGCATGGGTTTCCACTGTAGGGCGTATGCAACCAAACTACAAGGCCATCAAACCAGGCTTGTCCAAATTAGGGTAAAACTGGACTTACCAAGATTTACAACAATATTGATTCACTTGAATCAAACGGTGCTGTGCCGGCTTATGCCGGCTGCCGGCCACGAATATGCCAGTGCCAATGCTGAATCTAAACTCCCAGGAGCTGCATCCGAACTTAGGAGATAACAGCCGCGGCAATCCCTTGTCAGGTAAGTGCGCGCAAGCACTGGCACATGCAGTGGTCGAGGCATCTGCTCGCCGTCTCTACAGGCCTCGGGCGCCGTGGTGTGATGCCCTGTTGAGTGGGTGGTCCCTCGGCCCCCCGTCCTGGGGGTCAGTTCTTTATTTTGGAGCGCTTCCGACGGCCCGGAGCGGTCCCCTGGAGGCCCAAGCTCGGGAACCTAGGCGGTGCTCTCCGAAAGGGCATCTTCTGAGGGCGCGCTGGGGAGTCAGTTGGGGGGGGGGAGGGGCGGGTACGACCCCCCCAACCTTCAAAAGTCCCGAGGAGGGGGGGGGGTCGCCCGGCCCCCCCCCCTCCCGCTCCTCCTCCTCCTCCTCCTGCTCCTCCTCCTGCTCCTCCTCCTCCTCCTCCTCATCCTCCCTCCTCTCGAAAGTGAGCGCCGGAAGGGGGGAGGGTCCGGGCCGAAGCTGGGAAGGAGTAGCACTGGAACGGATCTCGGAACGCCAATCCCAGTCCAAACTGGTACCAGCTCCCACCGCTTTGGAAGCTCCTCAGAGATTCCCCTGGAGACTCCTCTGGGATTCGTCAGAGAGAGAATTCTGGTGGGAGGCTGGGACCAGCGCATTTCGGATGGAACGCGGATTGGAAGAAACACATGCAGCATGTAAGCATGATGTTGGAGCCTGGGACCAGCGTAGTTCCCATTGTTGAAGTCATATGGAAAAACCCACTCGATGATTAACTCATGTTGTGGGAGGCTGGGACCAACGCGTTTCCGAGTGAAGCCGTATTGAGAACAAACACATCGAATATTAAAGAATTCGGCGGAAGGCTGGGATCGGGGTATTTCCTCTGAGGTTCCGAATGTCAGCGCATTTCCTCTAACATGTAACTTGAAAACGGGAACAATCAATTCTATAACATTGCGGGAAGCCGGGATCCCCGCTGAAGACAAACTGCAAATTATGGAGTTCTGCGGGAGGGTGGGATCAGCGCGTGTCCTATTGAATCTTCAGTGCCAACCAAGTAGCAATCATAGGATTCTGAGGGGGGCTGGGATCAGCGAGTGGCCTATTGATTTCCCGTTGCCGAGCAAGTAAGATCTTATAGAATTCTGCGGAGGCTGTGATCAGCGCATGTCCGATTGAATTCCTAAGGGGTTAGCGCGGAAGCTGGGTCAGCATCCTCCATATTCACGATGCAAGCACACCAGCAAACCAACCAAACAAACATTAAGCAAGCACATGATGCTGGAAAGTGGGATCGGCGCAAGTCGTCTTGAATTTCAATTGCAAAAACATTTCATATGAAATTGTTACGCGGAAGATTGGCGTCGGCCAATGTCCTACTGGAGTCCGAATTACAAACGCATATGCGATTATCTAAATGGAGCGGTCTGATCGGATCGGCGCAGTTCAAATGAGACATGTTTCCAAGACGAGTGGCATACTACAATACACTAGTACGATCAGAAAGGAACAACCATGTGACATCTATGACAAACCAGCAAACAGTCAGGCATATTAATCATCATATTACAGAGAACGATACACTTCCCACATGCTGAATGTGAAAGTACACTTCCCACAAGTCATAGTACGCAAACCCTCGAAGTGTCCTAGCCTTTGGAATATCTCGTTTGTGCAACTTGCGCGCATGAAGCCTGCTATCCGGTTCCACTTGACACTTGACGATGTTCGCATGCGGACGATGGGCTCCTCACTAGGAGTTGTCGGGTTTTCTGACGTGTTTGAGAAACATACTGCTCTTTGATGGAACTCTCCCCGCATTCACATGACAATCAAGTAACGCGGAGCGTCATGTAA